ACAAGTCTGAAATCAAACATAAGAGCATACAGTGAGTCATCACCCTTATTCCAACGCTCTCCCTCTGTTATACAGTGAAGCCGGGGAAGTGTAATGTAGTGTAAATGACCCATTACAGAAAATGCTAAGCTCTTACGCTGCATGAAGTTCGTTAACTGTGTTTTTTCAAATTAATCGCCTGAAACGTTTTAACACCGAAATGCTCCACATTGTTTCTCTTTTCAACGTATTTTGACATTAATTGCAGATAAAAATCTCGAAAAAGTAACTGTTATAAATCTATATACACGGAGAGAGAGAGAGAGAGAGAGAAACTTTCATAAGGAACTCAACCATAAAATACACGAATATGAGGATATATAAAACATACAAATAAACACCACATGTTGATACTTTAACATTTAAACATAAACTTGTTTTTACCTTGTCCTATTGATCGATTTGTAAAACACTGCCAAAGCTAACGGTGATATACTAACGGAACTACCCTAATTGTAGTTATTCATTAATTAAAATTCGAACTGAAAGTTTAAATTAATTCAATTAACTGAAATATATTCAACATTGCAAGTATCTTTGTTCGTCTGAACGACATATTATGTCACAATAGGCTAAAGGCCATATTAGAAACCTCTATGGCTCAAGTGTAGTTGTCTCTCAAGTTTGAACTGTGGCCAGAGGAAGACAACTACTTGGTAGAACCCGCCGATTGAAACGGTTACTCTTAACAGAACGGCGGGATTGACAGTTTTGACAGAGTTTTATGCGCTAGCCTTACCTAATGTACAAGTTGTGGGCTGGATGGAAGGCAGCTATTAAACACCACTCACCGCCAACTCTTGAGCTACATTTTACCAACGAAAAGTGGGATTGACCATTACATTATACAGCTCCCAAGGCTGAAAGGAGGAGCATGTTCGGTGACAGGATTCGAACCTGTGACCTGCAGATTGTGAGTCGATCGTCTTAACCACCATTGAACTATTCGACACATGAAGATTTGCTGTAAGTTGTTTGTGGAGTTCAACTCGAGTAGGACTATTTTCAATAGATAAAAGAAAGGAAAGGCTAGCAGGTGTGAAGTGTTTTTCTTGTCCTTTTCTTAACAATTGGATGAGTATTTTATGACAAACTGCTGAGCGTTAAGCTGAAGTGATTTTAATTTTATGGCATCAGTTACGGTACAATTATTTTCTCCATATTTCAGTTTGGTAACAAAATAAAAATAATAGTTACAAATTTTGTTATTTGTCATCTTGGGAAAGTAAATTAATACTTGTTTGACTCTGTTATTCAAGGATGACAATAATCCACTGGAAAAATCATAAGGCTTGTTTGATTTTTTTTTTTTTTTGACGCAAAGCTACACAATAGGGTATGTGCGCTTTGTCCACCACGGGGAATAGAACCATGAGTTTTAGTATTGTGAGTCCGCTGATCCAGTGGTGGGGTGGGGTGGAGAAACAATCATTTGTGAGTTTGCTGCTAACGAAACGTGTATATATTAAATACTTCTCACTTACACTGTTGCCAGCAAAATAAAAGTTCAACAGAGGCATTTAGATATTGAAATAACTATATCCAGGTAGATTACTTCCTTAAAGGGGGACTGTGGCGATTTTTGAATAAAAAAAAAAATTACAAAATAATTTCATAAAGTTCTATTCAAACTCGCACTTTCCATGTAAGGTTTTACAGTTTTCCTTGTCGCTAGGGGATTTTCAGGGACAAAAATGTAATAAAAAAATACAGTTTCAAGCAATAGTGAAACACCTCAACCACAGCCTCGCTGAATCAACCGAACGAAGCAGTCAGGATATACTCTATAACACAAGCATTCTATTTGTATTCAAGAATACAGAAGAAAATAAATGAATAAAAAATAAAACAAAGACTTTTCATGACGAAAATCGTTATCACTGTACATATAAGGAATTGTTGAACAAATAATGTTACTGACACATAGACAAGAGCTTGCTCAACAAAAGATGTAATTGGTACAAAGGCAAGTATCTGCTGAATAAAGGATGTTAACAGCATATAGACAAGGGCTTGCTGATTAAAGGATGTTACTGCCATAAACCTGCTAAACTAGAGATGTTATTGGTACATAGATAAGGGCTTGCTGATCAAAGGATGTAATTGGTATCTAGACAAGTATCTGCTGAATAAAAGATGTTACGAGCACGTAGACAGAGGACTTGGTGAACCGGGGATGTTACGAGCACGTAGACAGAGGACTTGGTGAACCGGGGATGTTACGAGCACGTAGACAGAGGACTTGGTGAACCGGGGATGTTACGAGCATGAACCGGGGATGTTACGAGCACGTACACAGAGGACTTGGTGAACCGGGGATGTTACGAGCACGTACACAGAGGACTTGGTGAACCGGGGATGTTACGAGCACGTAGACAGAGGACTTGGTGAACCGGGGATGTTATGAGCACGTAGACAGAGGACTTGCTGAATAAAGTATGTTACTGGCACGTAGACAGAGGGCTTGGTGAATAAAGTATGTTACTGGCACACAGGTTCCCCCTCCTGCTCCACCAACTAAATATTTTGTTGATTATATTTCGAAAATATATCGTTCAATAAAAACATTACTTTCGAATGTACCAAAAAAGTTCAAAATTTTACATTATCCCCCATTTTCGGGGGCCTGTGTACAATCTAGAAAATATAGACTGTTGTTACTATGTGGGTGTTAGCTTATCCAATTAAGTAACAGTTTAATAGTTTTGTGATAAAAATAACGTTTTATTTCAGCTTGTGTTATCATTAGTGCTAAACTTTCCCTCTTTAAACGTGGAAACCTTGAATAAGAAATAGGAAGCTTAATTTCTCTGCTTGTGAGTAAGGAGAAAACTTCCCTATTTATTAACTTGCAAACAAATAAATAAGTATATTATCATCAATATCTTACAGGCGACTTTATGCTGTATGAAAAGACTTGTTACGGAAACACGAAATAATGACTTCGAAAAATATTTAACAAAGCTTAAATAACTACACACATTTTCAGCCAGTTTCGGGTATCCCGGACCTAAAGCAGACAAATAATGGAGAAAGACAAACCATATACTAAAATGGAGCTACATCTTGACAAAGGACTTTATTTATTATTTTCTAGATTAGTTGTTAAACTAAATGGATCTCAAATCTGAACGACAGAAATGGAAATAATTATTAAAAATTAGTAGAAGGGAAACATAAGATGGATTTTAATGAACATGAAGAAGAAACAAAACAATAGCTGAAATATAAGATACAATAATCATATTTTATAGGTTGAACTAAAAAGTAAGTTTAACTAAAAAAGTATAAAGTATCAAAGTAAGGAAAAGACGTACAACAGACATGGACGAAGAAGAAAGGCAATTGGAAAATAGTGTTGAAAAAAGGAAAAGATAAAGAACGAACAGGAAAAAACGGGAGTAATAGTATAAAAGAAAGGAAAAACATAAGTTTAAATGAAACAGTATTAGCCAATTAGTATTCAGAATACATAAAAGATAACGAACAAGTGTAAATGTAAAGGGGAAATAAGGCCAATCCAATCGAGCGTAGCTTACTAGGTAGACTCTAGACATATAATAGCTTCTGTGTCTTTATTGCATAGATTTAGACCTAGAAAACAATTGGTCAATTTACCTGCTAAATGGCTTCATTGGCAAAAGTTTTGATCCTTACAAGTTTGTGAGAAAAAAGAAAAAAGTGAGGAACGGGAGTGAAGTTAAATGAAGAACTAATTTTTTTTTTTTGAAAATTAACAAAACAAGTAAGAAAAATACAAAGTAAATTTAAATATAGAAGAAATAAGAAAGAAACCAGATATATAAAAAAGGGGTGAAAATTAACATATAGACTAAAATCTAAATGCAAAAATATGTAAAGAATAAAGACAAAAGATGGAGTAAAAACTTGGGGCACATGTAAGGAAAATGGAATAAAAACAAAAGATGGAGTAAAAACTTGGAGCACATGTAAGGGAAATGGAATAAAAATAAAAGATGGAGTAAAAACTTGGAGCACATGTAAGGGAAATGGAATAAAATTAAAGAAAAATTGATAAAAATAGAAATTTGCAAGAAAGTTTGAAAAATAAAAGCAGAGAAAATAAAATCATGGAATACCAATTGGGAATAGAACAGAATAAGATAAAACTGAAATAATATAGAATCTGGCATAAACATTGAGACAGTGAAAGAACTGTAAATGAAATAAAGAAAATTGTAACTGGATAAAAAATTAAAAAAAGGAAAGTGAGGGGTGAATAAAAGATGAAATAGAAAGCAGTTAAACTGAGTGATGGAAGAAAGAGGAAATTCGCAGGAGGATGAAAGGATGATAAAAAATAGAATAATAGACAAATAATGAATGGAATAAAGACATAAGAGAGGAAGGAAAGGTAAAAGAAAAATGAAATAAGCATAAAGTATGGGAGAGAAGAGAAATGAGAAAAAGAATACGGGTGAAGAGAATAAGGGGAAGTGATTTACTGGAGAAAAATAAGTAAAAAGAAAAGACTGTGAAAATAATAATAGCTATTTCATTTAAAGAAGCACAAAAATAAAGAAACTATTGTATTGTAGGAAATAATTGTATAAAGTAAAGTAAAATACTTGGAAAGTTTGCAACGTAAAGAAGAAATAAAAAAAACGGTTATTTCTGTTAAATCGATCAAAAATGATGAGTATCTTTTAGATTATCCTTTGAGATAAAAATGCACGAACTCTACATTAGCAAAGTTTTCAGTTATATAAATTGCGTATCATAGAGCAAACAAATCTAATTTTTCTAACAAACGATGATCCAATGGGAATACTTCTGTAATTTCTAGACAGTAAAAAAGATGTACAACACCATTTATTTCTCTCATTTAATTTTGTAATAAATAGAAACAATGAGTATAATTAAAAGCCCAGTAGTTTAACAGATCCAATGTGACTTCCAGCGGACTAATAATGCAAATAAAATAAACTACAAATACTTACTAACAGCCTCAATGACGTCAGCAAGTAAAGAGCCATCACTGACGTCAGTCTGTAGATCTTGAATATAACGCTTGAAGCGCCCTCTCTCCAGATAATGATTTGCCCAGTCTGTATAGATCTATATCGAGAAAAAACGTTTTACAAATTACAAAACAAAATAAATGTGATCTTTTTATAAAATTAACATAAAACTCACTAAATATACATATATTCACTTTTATAATTCGCGGTTGTCGTGAGACATTTAATACTTAGTTTTAAAGACAATGAACCTCATTTGAAAAATAGGCATTTAAATAAAATAATATTCAGAATGAATAAAAAATATTGAGAAATTATAAACGCTCATATTTTATTCTGTCGCTAGGGCTTCAGTAAAAGAAAAATTTGTTTGTTTATTTGAAGTTAAGCACAAAGCTACACAATGGGCTGTGCTCTGCCCACAACGGGTATCGAAACTCGGTTTCTAGCGTTGTAAGTCCGAAGAAAAATAAAAATAAAGCTAATACAATTCTATCAGTTCCTAAATAGCCCCCCCACCAGTGGCACAACGCTAGAAACCGGGTTTCGATACCCGTGGTGGGCAGAGCACAGATAGCCCATTGTGTAGCTTTGTGCTTAATTATAAACAAACAATCCTGAATAGGCATAACTGATATGGGTAAGGGGGTTATATCTCCTCATTTTTTAAAATTAACAGCAATAGTATAACAAATAGCAGATATCCTCTGTCCCACTCCACTTTTGAAACTAAAAATATGTCACTGATCTTTACCAATGACTTGAAGCATAAACCCTAAAATTCCCGACTCGTTTTCCTACTATACAATACCAGTGGTGGGCCAACATATTGCATCATATTGAAAAATATTTTGATTTTACTGTGGCAGCACTAAGTGAAATGAACTGGCAAAGAAAAAGGCTGAAATTACTCATCTTGTATATAAGATACACAGTAGTAATTAGTGTGATTAAATGCAACAATGATGACATTTTCTTTAAATTTTTGCTCCTCAGGGGCTCGGCGGTAAACCTGGGGGCCCACATCACTTAAAACCGGGTCTCGCTACACGTCGTGGGCACAGCACAGATAGCCTATCGTGTAGCTTCGTGTTTAACAACAAACAAACTTTATATCACTCATACGTTACTAGAAATCCTGTCACCAACTAAGATGTGAACCCGCAAGCAATTTGACGCATAAATAATTTAAAAAATATTAGAAACCGCCAGGGATCCACAGAACATAACATTGATTCTAATGTTAAACAAGTTCAAACTAATGAGAATCAGAACAAATTAAATCTATAAAATGTTTGATATTTTTTTCTTAATAGCTAATTTGACTAAAAGCAGGTTTATGCTATTTATAAAATGCATGATTTTTTATTTTTATTTCCAAGATGAAAATCCAAACGAAACGTTTGCCATTGTTACTCTCAGAATTCTTATATCAGATTATTCCAACTTGACAGTTAAAGAATTTTCAAAGATTCTGATCGTTGTATGTTATTTTAAGCGCGTTAATTTGTTTTTCAAGTTCTCATTTGATGCTTAATTGTAAAGCAGCTGTCATATCATATAAGTGTTTTATATTTTTGGTAAGCTTCTAATAAATGACTGTTGGCTAAAGCAAGTCGTATATAAAACGAGATTTATTAATCCAGTAATTTTCAACGAATATACAGCCGTGAGAGTGGGTCAAATGTCCATTTTTCTTTACATTCGATTTCTTACTGTACTCAACGAATGTCTGTAAAACATTAGGGAAGTTTTCAGTTGAGTGACTTAAGATGTCAACAAGTACACGAAGAGAACTGAAAAAGAAGAAATTTAACTAATCATTGGTATGTATCACCATCAAGTGTCAAGATTCATACATCTGGCATCTTTGATGATTTAAAGTCGCTGACCTTAACTTCCAGATGTCTAGATTCATACATCTCTGAGTTTAAAAGACCTCTGTGTCACTAATTTGGATGTTTAAATACCTATCTTCAAACATACATTTTTCCCCCTATAGGTCTTGTGCATTTATTCTGATCTGTATACCCCTGGTGGGTCAGCGATAAGTTTAAAGATGTAAAATGTTAAAATCCAGGGTTCGATTCCCTACAATGGACAAAGCGCAGATATTCCATTGTGTAGTTTTGCGCTAACACAAACATACCAAACTTTTAATTTCACTGTATTTTATATTCGGAGATCTAGGTTTTTAGACGCGATGTCTCCAAAATGTTATATATCAGTATATTGTTTTCTTCGGAGATCTAGGCTCCTACACGTGTTATCTTCAAAACGTTTTATTTCAGTTGTATTTAGAGGTCAGGCTGCTCATCACCATTTTTCTCAAACCCTAAATGTTATTGCACATTATTTTCAGATATTTAGGTTTATACACGTGTTGTCCCCAAAACGTTTAATTTCATTACCAAGTTCGAAGTTCTAACTATCCTCTAAAAAATGCACACGAGTGTTTATACTGTTAAGTTTCTCTAAGTGTCTTTCATAAAGGTTAATGTCTTGAGAAATAATTGCAATACATGCAAATACACCTAGAAATAAAAAAAAATCTATATATAATTACCAAAATCATAATGAATCAACAAACTACATCTTAATTGCCATAGGAGTAAAACATTTCGCTGGCGTGACTTAGAATACTGGCTTGCTCCTTGTATATCCCTAAACATCGTCTACGATGTATCATGACATGGGTGTTTCTTGACAGCATAGTCCCTCTACTATCTCCTAGGCGGACGTAAACACGCACATTTATCACAGTTATCGTCGCTTTCACGCATGCGAAGCGAGTGTAAAAAAGGGAGGTAGGAAAGTATTGGAAGTAACGTTAACGATTTTCTCATCAACAGCCTAACTTTCTAGATTTAAAATACGATTTACTCAAAGCAAGTATTTAAATACTAGTAATGGAAGGCATCAGGGGGAAAGTTCGAGAATGAAATGCGTGATTAATGGAAGCCAGTGATTTAAATATCAATAATGTATAGTAATATACAGTTATGCATACAAACGAATACGTACACAGTGAGTAGACACAAACATCACTGAAAAATATGACATAATAAGTTACGATGATATCAACAAGATCACGTACAAATCGAAAAACTAAAAATATATATAAAGTTTGAAATTCCGAATTTTTGTTTTTTACACTGAAATACGAAGTTACGGCTAAAAAGGAAAACAAGTCAAGCATAACGCCGAAAACAGTTATTTTGGTACATCCGGGTATGAATGACAAGAAAAAAAAAGAAACAGTGCTAATAAAGGGAATAACTTTATTAGTTTTCCACGAAATAAATTCTTATGTATTGATATTATTCTTAAATTCTGAACTTTAATTGGTCATTATAAAAATAATTCTGAACTCTAATTGGTCATTATAAATATAATTCTGAATTCTAATTGGTTATTATAAAAAATTAGGTAAATACACAATAGTGTATAAAGTAGTTTATAGTAAAGTTTAAATTCACACTAACGGAACAATACGAAATTTAAATGGAAACTAGTTTCGATATTTCACGTGTCCTCTTCAATCCAACATGAGAAATGTCGAAATTAGTTTCTATATAAAATCGGTATTGTTCCGTTAGTGTGAATTTAAACTTTATTCTAATTGGTCAGTTTCGTCGCATCTGTTGATCATTTTATTGGACTAGCTTATTTAAACTGAACGATGTTATAAACTGATTTTGTGGTTAAACTTAGTCTCGCCTCTTAACTCAGTATTTTCTTTTGCACATACACATGCAACGCCATCTTTTCGGAAATAAATAATTTTTTTTAGAAATACTTTATTTTCATAATTTTACTCAAGCATCAGGAAATAACTGATCCAGCACCAATACACGATGGGTCAAAGAAATATTTAGTTGAAACAATAAAAATCAAGTTTACTGCATATAAATTGTCTATTCAAGTGGGAAGAATATTTCTAGTCATTCTTTACGTCAGAGTTCGAAAAATTACATTCCAGCATTCCCGAGAATTTAACTTTGCTTGAGGAATTTAATCATTTTAGTTGGCTTTCCCGATCAGGAATGCATAGTCCATCCGTATTCCTTTAGTTATGACCAATGAAATTGAACATATTGCATGGACTAAATACAAAAATAATTCATGAGGAAATGCAACTTTACATGAGGGAATGTAATCTTCCTGATAGCTTTCCCTCGAGTGAGTGTAATGTTATTTCATTATTCCTATCCCTGTATGCACAATATTCATTGACACGAACAAATACACTTTCATATAAACACATTTATGAACTACAATCTTCTTAAAGAGGTTTACAGGAAAAAACTACCATATATACTTATATAGTTATGTAAGAAAACAGCTGATTTATCACCCAAATTTGGATATAGCCAAATGATTACAGTGATGTGATATTAACATAAAGATTGTCCGTATAAAAATTTGATTGCAATAAAAAATACAGTACGCGCGCTGACATCTAGTAAAAATTTCCACAGTTAAAAGTTATATCGTGGAAGAAAAAAAAATAAACACACGAGGAGATTAAGTAAGCTATGTTAGTTTTTCATGGCCACTGTTGAGGATATTCGTCGATTTCTCTGTGGTATTCTTACAATAATATAACAGTAAATCACTAAGATGACAGATAGTATCATGTGGTTATCATTAATCACGGCTTCTGACCACCAAAGATGAATTTGTTGATGACATGTGGGACAGTGGCAAAGGTTTTTAGTTAAAGGCTGTCTTTCTCATCAGTCTTTTTCGTGTCGACAACAGAGCTTCACACAACATATATTAAATCAACAGAACTCTACACAAGCATACAAACTGACAGACGTTCTGTCCCTTATACACGTGTCTGTGGACTCTAGATAACGGCACCACAAACACTAAAGAATATTCTGGGTGAATGCACATTATACATCATACAGTATACACGTGTCTGTGGACTCTAGATAACGGCACCACAAACACTAAAGAATATTCTGGGTGAATACACATTATACGTGATACAGTATACACGTGTTTGTGGACTCTACATAACGGCACCACAAACACTAAAGAATATTCTGGGCGAATACACATACAGTATACAGTATACACGTGTCT